GGTACCTCCGTTAAAGGATGCTCCTAGCGTTTCCCGAGGACTCCAAGGACTCTGGCAGACACCACAATCACCGAACCGGAGAAGCATATGAGTACTTTTAAGCATTTGAATGTTGTATACAGCCAAATAGCAGTCAAACTGGAACAGCATACAATAAATCCTCCCCCAATAATGAGATGACACTTCACTTTGAGGATTAAGCAGGAACTCTACTGTAATGGCCACATACTGGCTTTTATGCAAGACCCCATGCAAGGGGACATCCCACAGGGTGGGACACAGTACAACCAATCATTTACAGGAGAACCGTAAAACACACCCAGCACAAACATACATCCCTCCCCTCTGCCTGTGATATAATTACTGAACACAATGGGTTAATGTAATTTATCACCGGCAGGAAAAATACACTTTTTATACATACACTGTAACTTAAAATATGCTCAGATCACATACATACAGTTCAATCGCCATGGAGCCAAAGTCTTTCATACAGTCTTTCAGTATACGGCTGGGCTCCATGGCATAGCTATCTGGGTTAGCATGGCTTTAACAGTCCGCAGAAAGGCACGAATAAACCTTTCTGCAGGTAAAATAAAAGTTTAAAATGCAGGACCATAGTCTAAAGGGAGCAAGCGAGCAACCAGGCCTCTCCAGTGGACAGTGGCGAGGTTGGTTCCGCCACATGGTCATCAGTAGAATCAGTGATTGCCCCGCTTTTGGTACTTTAGACCATTTTTTAGAACCCAACACCGATAAATATTAGGGATCTTTTCTGTCCGGGGTCCTCTAATTCATTTACAGTTGACCAGACTTCTCTTTTCCCAGGGGATTAAACAATTTGCGGACACACTATTGCTGATTTAACCGGCCGGGATGAATAATCAAACTGACAGTTTCTGATGCAATTTGACAATTTGTCAATTTATTGATGAAAGCATAGGGCTTGTAAAAAACACTATTTCAATGCATCGCATTGTCTGGCAGACATTCAAAATAGTGCTAATATTTAATTGGTTAGTAATTTGTCTTTAGAATCGTGACGCATTGAATGCGTTTGTGGCGAAACCGACCTCACCACTGGGCATTGGAGAAGACTGATTGCCAGCCTCCTGCCATGTGACTATGGTCCCTGGGATGTATTGCCCTTTAAAGACATGATTTGGGCATAATGGATTTGTGTTGTGCTGCTGCTGGCCCTTTAAGAACCATCTGGGGACATACTGTGGAGTTACTGGGTGGCCACCATTTCCTGTATCAGAAGCACATGGTGAGAACAATGGATGGCGGCCATTTTAACTCACATACACTGTTTGGACTTTTCAACACGGTGCCATATCGCCAGTATTTGGTGCACAGAGACATCGTGCAGTGGTTTTGGACTATACAACAGGAGACACCTTATACAGTAATTGTTTTTCATATAGCCGGCATATGTTCTGTAAAATCTGCATTAAACTGTATCTTCCAAAGTACTGAACGGATCTGGGTGAATTTTGGATATGTGGTTCACCCAGATCCCCCCGGTTCCAAGGATATACTTTTATGGGGTTATTGCATGTTAAGGGGTCCCTGTGATGTGTTTTATGAAACTGTATTTCTCTGTCTGTGATAATTAGATTACCCATTGTGTAAGGTAATTGTATCACAGGCAGAGGGAAGGATTTTGTGTGGGAGTGTCTGAGTGTATTGTACGTGTTATTGGTTGTTCTGTAAAACCCTGTGGGCAGTACTAAGTTTGTGGATTGGGAATAAAAGAGGCTGTATGTGCCAGTCCAGTCAGTTCCTGCTTAACCCTTAAAGTGAAGTGTCGTCTCATTATTGGGGGAGGATTTATTGTATGCTGTTCCAGTTTGACTGCTAGGAGTGTGGTTTTTCCTATTCAGCTGTATACAACATTCATATGCTTGAGAGTATTCAAATGCTCCTACGGTTCGGTGGTTTTGGTGTCTGCTGCAGTGCTTGGAGTCCTCAGGAAGTGCTAGGAGCATCCTTCAACGGAGGTACCCAGTCGGGGTGCCAGGTGATCCGTTACAGCGTTATTTCTTTCAAGTGTTCAAATGTTGTTTAATGCTTAACCCCTTAATTGTTGATATATAATCTACTACTATATCATTATTATTTTATCACTGCAAACTTATCACAATTTAACAAGTGCTTAATTCTCTATCTTTCCTTATATTTGCAGTTACTATATATATAATTTTTATCGTACATCCCTGTACATCTATGCAGAAGAGAGAGGCAAAGCAGTTACAATATTAATTCATTATGGGTCAATAGTGATGTCCCGAACGGTTCGCCGAACGGTTCGCCACGGACTCATCATTGAGTAAACTTTGACCCTGTACCTCAAGGTCAGCAGACACATTCCAGCCAATCAGCAGCAGACCCTCCCTCCTCCTGGACAGCTCACTAAGAATGCAGCTTCACAATGAATGTAAAATGGATGCTGTCCAGGAGGTGGGAGGGTCTGGGAGGGAGGGTCTGCTGCTGATTGGCTGGAATGTGTCTGCTGACTGTGAGGTACAGGGTCAAAGTTTACTCAATGATGAGTCCGCGGTGAACCATTCGTGGCAAACCATTCGCGAACCGTTCGGGACATCACTATGGGTCAATAACGGGGCTTGACACAAATAGTTAGGGCATATGTTACTCCTGGGTACAAACAAGCGTATTTGAGGTAAGTTGGGGTAGAACAGAAAAGTCAACTAAAATGTGACCCTGCATGAATTAACACATTTAATAATTTAAATTGACAGCTTATTCCTACTTGTGCTAACTTTCCTAGAGTTATATAAGTTTAAATATGTCTTCCTAGCATACAAAATGGCCGTACCAGGTTTAAAATATCTTACAATAAATAACCCTTATTGTGTGCACTCCCCTTCCTCCTGATGTTTAGATCTTTACCGCTAGAACACGTGCACTGTTACATACATTGTGTAGCCTCCAGGGATCTCCTGGTCTTGTTATGGTTACCGAAGCAAAAGACACAGGTTTACCATTACCACTTTGTATACCACAAATCTTTCTTCCTTGTCGTTCTGCGAAGTATTTTTATTTATATTACGCAGGGAGTGAGCCTGTTCAATCACGATGTCAGTCAACATTATTACTGTAAAACATAATAACAGGGTAAATAAAGAATAAGAGGGAGGATGACTAAGTATTGATGTTATCATTTAACAACTCAGGTGGGAGAGAAAGTACGATATACAGTAATATACAATAATATAAAAGATGATATTTCTAGGAGAACAATAACATGACGATTTTTTTAAGTGCCATTAATTGTGTGTGCAGCTGCCTACAGGCACGTATTTGCTATCCTGATACTACCAACATGGTTATGCATTTATATAGTTCTCATATATGAATGTCTGTTATTTCAGTGGGCAGATCACATTTTTCAGTCCTGTAGTGTCTGCTATAACTGGTACAGCGTAAAACAGGGCTCTAATGTTAGTGCAGTGCCAGGTTAGTGGGGCCACCACCAGTGGTTTGGCTTACACCTTAATCATGTGTGTCACATTGTGTTTTACAAAAAAAAGCCCACTTCAGTTTAAGGCAGTTGAGTTTGTTTCTACTGGGTTACTATGACTGTGTGACTATCAATCTACATCAGTGTGTGCATTTTGCTGCCCTAATACTGATGGAACCCTATCCCCCTTATTTTATAAAATAATGTAATGTAAAATATACATAACTCTGAAGCATGTATTAGGGAAAAATAATGCCTCCTCAAAGTTCTAGAGACATTTGTTTACCCTGAGAGCAGAGGTGCAGTGGAACTGGTATTTTTCCAATATTACAGTGAGGGAAAAAGTATTTGATCCCCTGCTGATTTTGAATGTTTGCCCACTGACAAAGAAATGATCAGTCTATAATTTTAATGGTAGGTGTATTTTCACATTGAGAGACAGTATAACAAAAAGAAAATCCAGAAAAACGCATGGCAAAAAAGTTATAAATTGATTTGCATGTCAATGAGTGATATAAGTATTTGAACCCTTTATCTTAGTACTTGGTGGCAAAACCCTTGTTGGGAATCACAGAGGTCAGACGTTTCTTGTAGTTTGCCACCAGGTTTACTCCGGGGGGATTTTTTCCCACTCCTCTTTGCAGATCCTTTTCAAGTCATTAAGGTTTTGAGGCTGATGTTTGGAAACCCAAACCTTCAGCTCCCTCCACAGATTTTCTATTGGATTAAGGTATGGAGACTGACTAGGCCACTTCAGGACCTTAATGTGGTTCTTCCTGAGAAACTCCTTTGTTGCCTGGGCACACCCTAATCCCCGCGGCACGCCTATGTATATTGAGACCGGCAGGGGAGATCTCAGGATCTCCCCTGTCAGCTCATGCAGAACCGGCGCTATCTGAGCGCCGGCTCTGCTCTCAGCCTCCCTCCCCACCGACCCACATGCAGGGAGGGAGGCAGGAGAGGACTGGCGGAGCTATTGCCGGCAGCTCCGCCGGGTTCCTCTCGCGAGATATGAGTGTTGCCGCGGCAACGCTCAAATCTCACGTGAGTGAACTCTACCCCCACAGGGGCTAGAGTTCACTCTCCACTGGACCACCAGGGATGGAATCAGCAGCACGATCCCCCCTCCCTACAAAAGGTAAGAAGGGAGGGGGGATAGCAAGTAATGTACCCCCACCCCCACAATCACCCACCCACATACAGCACCCACACATACAGCACCCACACATACAGCACCCACACATACAGCACCCACACATACAGCACACACAGACATACAGCACACACAGACATACAGCACCCACACACATACAGCACCCACACACATACAACTCCCACAGACATACAGCTTCCACAGACCTACACAGCACCCACAGACCTACACAGCACCCACAGACCTACACAGCACCCACAGACATACACAGCACCCACACACACATACGGCACCCTCACACACACACAGCACACTAATAGTACCCTCACAAACACAAACAGGACCCTAACAAACACACACACAGCACACTACCAGTACCCTCACACACAAACAGCACCCTCACACACAGTACATTAACAGCATCCTCACGAGCACGCACACACAAACACCCTCACCCAGATAGCACACTACCAGCACCGTCACACACACATCACACTAACAGCAACCTCATACAGCACACACACACACACACACACACACACACACACCAGTGTGTGTATATATGTGTGTGTATGTATGTGTGTGTATGTGTATATATATGTATATATATATATATGCGGCGTGTGCTTGTGCTTTAGGGTGCACACCCTAATGCAATAGGCTGCACACGCCTATGGCCTTGGCTGTGTGTTTTGGGTCATTGTAATGCTGGAACACCCATCCACGACGCATGTTCAATGCCCTGGCTGAGGGAAGGAGGTTCTCACTCAAGATTTGACGGTACATGGCCCCGTCCTTCGTCCATTTGATGCAGTGCAGTTGTCCTGTGCCCTTAGCAGAAAAACACCCCTAAAGCATAATGTTTCCACTTCCATATTTGACGATGGGAATGGTGTTCTTGGGGTCATAGGCAGCATTCCTCCTCCTCCAAACACGGCGAGTGAGCTTGATTTTGGTCTCATCTGACCACATAACTTTCACCCAGTTCTCCTCTGAATCATTCAGATGATGGCAAACTTCAGACGGGCCTGTACATGTGTTTTCTTGTGCTGGAGGACTTTGCGGGCCCTGCAGGATTTAATTCCTTCACAGGATAGTGTGTTACCAATTTTTTTTCTTGGTGACTATGGTCACAGCTGCCTTGAGATCATTAACAAAATCCTCCTGTGTAGTTCTGGTCTTATTCCTCACCGTTCTTATGATCATTGGAACTCTACGAGGTGAGATGGAGCACCAGACCAGAGGGAGACTGACAGTTATTTTGTATTTCTCCCATTTGTGAAAAATCCCACCAACTGTTGTCACCTTCTCACCAAGCTACTTGGCAATGGTCTTGTAGCCCATTCCAGCCTTGTGTGGATCTACAATCTTGTCCCTGACATCCTTGGACAGCTCTTTTGTCTTGGTCATGGTGGAGAGTTTGGAATCTGATTGATTGATTTCATCTGTGGACAGGTGTCTTTTATATACGTAACAAGCTGAAATTAGGATCACTCCCTTTAAGATTTTCTTTTGTTATTCTGTCTCTCATTGTTAAAATAAACCTACCATTAAAATGATAGGCTGCTAATTTCTTTGTCAGTGGGCAAAAGTTCAAAATCAGCAGGGGATCAAATACTTTTTTCCCCTCACTGTACATGCTTCATTATTACCGTTGTTTATTATGCTGTAGATGTGATGTTCACAGTTTCAAATCCCAGTAGGCCATTCGTGTATCAAAGAATAACAAAATGTATTTCTCAGAGTGTTTCTCAGGTTTTGGGAGGTCTGCTTATCTCTGTGCAGATCAGCACAGACTGGACTGAGTAAGAAGATCGTTGAAGGGCTGTTTTTAACCTCTGATGTTAGAGAAATCTAGACATCTCCGAGCAAATCTGCTAGAACAATGTATAGATGAAATCCGATTCTCTATCATTTAAGAGTAAGTTGTAGTTGTCATGACAGCTACCTTTGATGTTTCAGTTTTCTGTCTCATTTTAAAGGGACACTGTAGGCACCCAGACCACTTCAGCTCATTGAAGTGGTCTGGTTGCAAACTCCCATCACCCTTAACCCTGAGCATCTAATTATTGCAGTTTTTATAAACTGCGATAATCACCTGCTAGGATTTTTGCCGCCCTAGGCAAAAAATAATTTGCCACCCATCCCCCCCCCATATGTTCTGCCCACCATGTGACATCACAATGCCCCACCCATATGATCTGCCATATGGGCAAACGCAGTGCTGCACACAGTGTGTTTTATCTGAAAAGGCAGTGAGTTTACATTAAAAAGCCTGCAGGGACAGGCTATAGACACCAGAACCACTACATTAAGCTGTAGTCCATCTGGTGACCATAATGGCCCTTTAATGTGAGGTAAATTAGACATTAGTGCCACTAATAATATACTGGATTGCCTGCTTACCACAAGATGAGGATGGTGATGGGCTCTGGCTGAAGTCTGGCTCCACTGGTCTGGTGTAATGATATTGATGTTACAAAGTTTTGGAGTCCAGTAGCCAGATCAGCAATGTTTTCTGCCAGAGGTAGCCACTCGTTACCCAGGTGGTTGAGCCCCTGAGCCTTGAGTGGCCTTCTGGTCTTAAGCAGTGATGGGAGACTGGAACAGAAAGATGATAATCGTAGTCAGGCAAGCCGAGGTCAGTGGGAAGGAGAAGCAGCAAAGTCAAAACAGTCCAAATTCAGCAACAGGAAGGAGAAACAGGAACACGCTGGATTAGAGAGTACAGGAACCACAATAATCTGGCAAAGGTACAGAGACAGGAAGTGGCTTTTATAGGCCAAGGACCAGACACCTGACCAGACACAGCTGAAGTGAGTTGTCACTGATAACCTTGACTCTACAAACAATAGTATCAGATCTCAGGTAAATTTGCAAAAGGCAGGCTGGTGTACTGGTAAGGAAAAGGTTTAGCACCATGTAAACCAGGGTTCGAAACCCAGCAGAGTCAGTTCCTCACATTACCTCCACCTCTACAGGCGCAGCCTCTGGATGCCCTATTTCCTGGTTTAGCAGGGTACTGTGCATGGAAAGACTGAAGAAGATCAGGAGCATGAATATTGTCCACTGGTTCCCACGATCTATCCTCCTCACCATAGCCTTTCCAATGAACCAAGTATTGAAGCTTGTTGCGGAAGATCCTGGAGTCAAGAATTTTTTCCACCTCGTATTCATCTTCACCATCCACGAGGACTGGTGGTGGGGCAGGCAAGGCTCGACCAGGGAAAGTATTTTCATGAAAAGGTTTAAGCAGTGCCACGTGAAACACCGGATGTATTTTCATGGAATCCGGAAGTTGCAGACGGAAGGTGACTGCATTGATCTGAGCGATTATCTTAAAAGGTCCCATGAACTTTTGACCCAATTTATGAGAAGGAATCCTAAGCTTAAGATTCTTTGTTGACAGCCAAACCTTGTCACCAACATGATAAACTGGGGCCTCCTTTCTGTGCCTATCAGCAGCTCTTTTGTAACATTCCTGAGCCTCCGAAAGAGTCTCCTTCAACAGTTCTTGGGAATCTCGTAAGGCGGTTAGCCGGTCAGTGACTGCAGGAATGGGAGTAGTAATTGGGAGACTCACTAGAAAGGTTGGATGGTAACCATAATTGGCAAAAAATGGGCTCAGAGAAGTGGAGCAGTGTTGGGCATTGTTATAGGCAAACTCCGCCGTGGGTAGAAAATCCAGCCAGTCATCCTGCAGGTAACTAATATAGCACCGCAAATATTGTTCTAAAGTCTGGTTGGTTCGCTCAGTCTGTCCATTACTTTGTGGATGAAAAGCTGAAGACAGATTTACATTAATACCTAGAATAGAACAAAAATATTTCCAAAAATGAGATGTAAACTGCACTCCCCTGTCAGAAATTACTTCATCAGGCACTCCATGCAAGCGAAATATTTCCCGAATAACAAGGTCAGCAGTCTGTTTAGCTGAAGGGAGACCACGAGCTGGTATGAAATGACTCATCTTGGTTAACCGGTCCACAACAACAAGAATAGTAGTGTGTTCCTTAGAGGGAGGTAGTTCCACAATAAAGTCCATGGATATAGATCCCCAGGGACGATGAGGAATCGGAAGAGGCTGAAGCAAGCCAACAGGGGATGAGCGAGGAGTCTTATGTCTGGCACATACATCACAAGAGGACACATACTTCTTAACATCCTCAAAATATTTAGGCCACCAAAAGGATCGGGTAAGTAGTTCTTGTGTCTTTCGGATTCCTGGATGACCTGCTGGTTTAGAGTCATGGTAGAGGCGTAAAACGTCCAGTCGCACTGATTCTGGAACAAACAGACGTTGTTGAAAAATCCAAAACCCATTAAGCATGGTCATATGAAGATCACGAGGAGGATCACGAAAAACTGGATCTTTAGAGTAGCCCTTTTTAATGCGAGACATTAGATCAGAAGGAAAGGTAACTCCTAAAAATCTGCTCTCCGGCAAGATGGTGGCCTTGGTTACTGTAGTATGGAGGGGGTCAGCTATCCTAGACAAGGCATCCGCCTTGCCATTTCTGGAACCAGGGCGGTATGAAATAAAAAAATTAAACCTTGAGAAAAATAGGGACCAGCGTGCTTGTCTGGCTGACAGTCTCTTAGCGGATTGGATACATTCCAGATTTTTGTGATCTGTGAGGACAGTAATTGGATGGGTGGCTCCCTCCAAGAGATGTCTCCATTCGGTGAAGGCAGCTTTTATAGCCAAAAGTTCTTTATTCCCTATGTCATAATTTCTTTCTGCTGGTAACATCTGGCGGGAATAGAAGGCACATGGATGTAACAACATCTTAGGTCCAGTCCTTTGAGACAGTATAGCCCCAACAGCTGAATCAGAAGCATCTACCTCTACAGTAAATGGCAATTCTGGCTGAGGATGTACCAAGATAGGGGCAGATGTAAACAGAGTCTTTAATCTGGAAAATGCAGTGTCAGCCTTATTGGACCACTGAAAAGGAGTCCCTTTACGTGTAAGTTCAGTGATCGGTGTAATAACGGCAGAGAAATTCTTAATGAAACGCCTGTAAAAATTGGCAAACCCCACAAATCTCTGTATATCTTTTTCATTCTTGGGGATGGGCCAGTCCAGCACAGCTTTAATTTTACTTGCGTCCATACTTAAACCTTTAGGAGTTATTACATACCCCAGGAACTGAATTTCTGTTTGTTCAAACTCACATTTTTCCAGTTTAATGTATAGGTGGTGGGTACGAAGGCGCTCAAGAACAATGCAGACCTGTTTTCTGTGATTTTCAAGATTATCAGAAAATATCAGGATATCATCCAAATATGCCACAACAAACTGATCCAGGAGATCCCGTAGTACATCATTGATTAGATGCTGAAAAGTTGCAGGGGCATTACAAAGCCCAAATGGCATTACTAGATATTCGTAATGTCCGTACCTGGTTCTGAAAGCTGTTTTCCATTCATCATTTGGTCTTATGCGAACCAGATTATATGCCCCCCGTAGATCAAGCTTCGTAAATATTTTAGCTGAACGAAGTCTCTCCAGAAGTTCAGGAATGAGAGGCAAGGGATAACGGTTTTTAACAGTGATTTTATTAATGTCCCTGTAATCGACACATGGCCGTAGACTGCCATCTTTCTTTTCTACAAAGAATATAGGAGCTCCTGCTGGAGAAGTGGATGGTCGAATAAAGCCTTTGGCAAGATTTTCTTGTATGTATTCACGAAGTGCTTTCAATTCAGGCTCAGAAAGGGAGTATATACGGCCAAATGGGATAGCAGCTCCAGGTAGCAGCTCTATGGGGCAATCATAAGGCCTATGAGGTGGAAGCTGATCAGCATTCTTCTTATCACAGACATCTGCAAAATCCCGATATTGTAGCGGAAGCTTGGTTAAGTTTGTAGCAACCATTTCATTAATTGTTGTGGTAACAGGTGTCGCCTTAGAGGGTTGACAATTCATTAAGCAGTGTTCTGAAGGAAAGGACAAAGTTCTAGTCTTCCAATCAATCTGTGGGTTATGCAGAGCAAGCCAGGGTATACCCAAAATCACTGGAAACTGTGTTGAGGAAATTAGGTGGAAAGATATAGACTCATGGTGATTCACTTCCAGAATCAATTTTAAGGGCACAGTCTCATGTGTAACCGGGCCTGACGTAAGTGGAGAACCGTCTACTGTTTCCATTAACACAGGTGAAGATTTAGGGATAGACTGAATTTTATTTCCTGCTGCAAATTTAATGTCCATAAAGTTTCCGCCTGCTCCGGAATCTATCATAGCTGTAGTTGAAATTTTATTATTACCATATTGCAAAGTGATAGGCACCACCAAATGAGGATGTTGAGTCATCATACCTTCTTCACCCTGAGCCAGAGAAAACAAGGGTTGTGTGACAGAATCCAGTTGGTCTGAAATCTGGGATTGGTGTTGAATCTGTGCACCCTCAGCAGTCATAGCTATTGTTCTTTTAGACTTGTTAGGGCAATTGATGGCATAATGCCCTGCACTACCACAATACAGGCATAAGTTGTGAGTGCGTCGCCACTGTTTTTCTTCATTGGATAATGGCCCTCTTATTAGATCTACCTGCATAGCCTCAGGTTCAGAGTCTGTAGGTGTTTGTGGGGTCGGAGTAGAAATTCTTGAATAGAAAGTAGGAGTAGCACTTGGTTTAAAAGAGCCCTGTCTTTCCAATCTTCTTTCTGAAAGTCTCCGATCAATACGGATAGCCAACCGCACAAATGCATCAAACTCAACAGGAAGATCAACACGAGCTAGCTCATCTTTTATAGCTTCTGAGAGACCCCTTCTGAAGTGGAACCTCTGGGCTGATTGGTTCCAAGTAGTATCAGTAACCCACTGTCTGAATTCAGCAGCATATTCAGCCACAGAGCGCCTCCCTTGATGTAAATGAAGGAGAGTGGCTTCTGCTGTAGCACAGCGATTGGGATCATCAAAAACTAGGCACATGGCCTCAAGAAAGTCTTTTAAATTTCCCAAGATTGGACTGTCCTGTTCCAGAAAAGGGGAGCCCCAGGCCAGGGCTTCATCTTTGAAGAGGGAAAAAATAAATCCCACCTTCTCTCTTTCAGATGGAAAACGGTTAGGTAACATCATGAAATGCAAACGGCATTGATTTAGGAAACCCCTGAATTTTTTGCGGTCTCCTCCAAATTTTTCTGGTAGAGGCAAGCGGGCATCTTGTGCAGGTGTAACAGTAGTAGTAGCAGCAGCCGCAACATCATGTGCCCTGTAGCTGGTAAGCTCACTATGCATTGATCGAACTTCATTTTGCAGTTCAGCTACCTGATCCTGCAGCACTTGAATGGTCTGTGCCTGGGTCTGCATAGTTCTTGCATTAAAAGCAACCTGCTGGGCCAATGCAGAATCTGATCCGACGGTCTCCATGAATGGGCCAGATTATTCTGTAATGATATTGATGTTACAAAGTTTTGGAGTCCAGTAGCCAGATCAGCAATGTTTTCTGCCAGAGGTAGCCACTCGTTACCCAGGTGGTTGAGCCCCTGAGCCTTGAGTGGCCTTCTGGTCTTAAGCAGATGGGAGACTGGAACAGAAAGATGATAATCGTAGTGAGGCAAGCCGAGGTCAGTGGGAAGGAGAAGCAGCAAAGTCAAAACAGTCCAAATTCAGCAACAGGAAGGAGAAACAGGAACACGCTGGATTAGAGAGTACAGGAACCACAATAATCTGGCAAAGGAACAGAGACAGGAAGTGGCTTTTATAGGCCAAGGACCAGACACCTGACCAGACACAGCTGAAGTGAGTTGTCACTGATAACCTTGACTCTACAAACAATAGTATCAGATCTCAGGTAAATGTGCAAAAGGCAGGCTGGTGTACTGGTAAGGAAAAGGTTTAGCACCATGTAAACCAGGGTTCGAAACCCAGCAGAGTCAGTTCCTCACATCTGGTGTAGAACAGGCTCTCTGGAGACTGTTTGTAACAGTGCTCACAAAAATCAACGAACAGAAAGCAGCTCCATTTTTTGGGGCCCCTTACACAGCTCAAGGTCTCGGCCTGCAGGGCCTGACCGTGAGTATGCCTACACGGCTTGCCCATAAGTCCACCTACATGGCCCACCCATGAGTTCACTCACAGGGAGTGGAGTGTATGTGTGTAGGGGATGTGTTATGTGTTATTGTAGAGGATGTAATGTGTGTGTGTTCTTATAGAATGTAGCTTATAGGGATACCAATTTGTGTAAGGGATTTAGCATGTATATAGGGGATGTAGTGTGTGTTCATGTGTTTCTGGGTGTGCAAGGGATGCATTGTGTCAATCTGTGTTTGTATGTGTAAGGAATGCAAGGTGTGTTTCTGTGTATGTAATGTAATGCAGTATATGTCTGTTAGGGTTGCATTGAGTGTGTGTAAGAGATGCATTTTGTGTGTGTGTGTAAGGGATGCATTGTGTGTTTCAGTTTGTCTGTGTGTGAGTAGGGATGCATTGTATGTGTGTGTAGGTATGCATTGTGTGTTTCTGTGTATGTGTAAGGATGCATTGTGTATGTGTGTAGTGTGAAAGAGAGGATTTGTGGGGTAGGATAGGGGCTGAGAGGGGAGCAGCTCTTATTTAACTTTTTTATAGTGCTCTCCCCTCCCTTCCCGTCCCTTAGTGCTCTCCTTTCCCCTTCCTGTCCCTTAGTGCTCTCCCTTTTCCCCCTTTCTTTTAGTGATATCCCCTCCTCTCCAGTCCATTAGTGCTCTCCCCACCTGTCCCTCAGAGATCCCCCCCTCCTGACCCTTAGTGCTCTCCCTTGCCCTCCTGTCCCTTAGTGATATCCCCTCCCGTCCCTTAGTGCTCTCACCTCCCCTCCTGTCCTTTATTGACCTCCCCTGTTCTTTAGTGATCTCCCCTATCCCTCTGTCCCTTAGTGCTCTCATCCCCTCCCCTCCCTTAGAGATGTCCTCTCCGTCCTTAGAGCTCTCCCCTGCCCCTTGTCCCTTAGTGGTGTTTCCCCTTTCTTCCCTGTACCTCAGTGTTCCATTCATATTTCCTCAAACTGTCCCTTAGTGGTCTCCTCCTCTCTCCCCTTAGTGGTCCTCTCTCCCCCACCCCCTCTTAGTGGTCCTCTCTCGCCCACCCCCCCTTAATAGTCCTCCCTCCCCACACCCCTTTAGTGGTCCTCCCTCTTCCCCATCCCCTTTGTGGTCCTCCCTTCCCATCCCCTCTCCTCCCCTCTCCCCAACCATTTAGTAGTCCTCCCACTCCCCCACCCCTAGTAGATCCTCCCACTCCCTCCCTCTTAGTGGGCCTTTTCCCCTTAGTGAACCTCTCTCTCTACTCCTCCCCTTTTGGTGGTCCCTCTCCCCTTAGTGTTATTCTCCCCCCCGTTGTGCACTTTGTAGCATGGCCAGATGGAGCAGTACAGGAGTTCTGTTTCTTGTACTCGGCTGGACTGACAGGAAATGCTCACTGAGTGAACACTTCCTGTCAGTCCGGCCAGCCGCCGTGTACAGGAAACAGAAGCTCCTGTACCGCGGTCCATGTCGCCTGGCCACACTACATTGAGTGACTGGCATGAGGGAGAGCTTTGCGCTTCCTACCTGCTGGGTCACCAAAATCTTGCACTCTAGGCAACTGCCTAAGTCACCTATAGGACACGCCGGCACTTCTGCTAGGGTTAACTCCTCCTCTAGTGGCTGTCCACCAGACAGCCACTAGAGGGACTTCCGGGTGGATAGGTGACCTTTGGTCACCTAAACGATGCTGGGGTTTTTTAATGCTATGCACCGGAATCCCCATAGGAAAGCATTGAATAATGGTTAACTATAGGGAAATCCTAATGCGAGTGCGGCGAGGGACATCGGTGCTGGACCCAGGTAAGTGACAGAAGGGGTAATTAACCCATTTTGCACCATAGGAGGGAGGGAGGGGCCTTGACAGAGGGGGAAGCTATAGTGCCAGAAAAACGAGTTTGTTTTCCTGGCACTATAGTTTCCTTTTAAGTACTGAAGATCTTTTGACACTAAGTCAGAGACATTCTACCCAGTGAAATAAACAGTTACCATTAGTTAGCATTGCTCTACTGGTCATCATCCCTGCTGTATTTAATACATTGAGTGTTAGTGTCAGGGTTTTTCTTGAACCTGTAACTGTACAGTGAAACAGAGCTAGGGAGATATGCTGGGGGAAACAGAACTGGAGAGATATGCTGTGGGAAACAGCAGTGGAGAGATATGTTGGGGGAAACAGCACTGTCCCTGCTGGGGTATATGGCATTGGGGAAATATGCTGGAGATAAAGGCACTGGTGAGATATGCTGGGGAAATGGAACTGGGGGAAATGGAACTGATGAGATATGCTAGGGGAATGGAATTGAGGAGATATACTGGGGAAAATGAAATTGGTTATATTAATTAAAGAATGTTTCCATTAGTTATACATTTTAGCTATCTGTGATGCTATCATTCTTTGAAGTGAGTTTAGAATAAATAATGCTAAAATGATTCTTATGGGGACTCTGCCTGATATACCAGTCTGTATCATCTGAAAAATGAATATATAGTGACGCAAGTCTCCACTCAGGGCTGGCTTTATTAGAGAAGCTGTGGGTGGATTAACCTCAGCGGCAGAGGGAGAATAATCATATCTCTCTTTCTTTTGTACCTTAGCGGCTCATTGTATTTCTGCCTGATTTAACAGAGCCTGACGTGTTTCTCTCAACACATAGAAATTCAGTCTTTTACAAGTGATGTATCGCTTGGAAGAAAGGAATCCATTTGACCTGACTATGTATATAGGTATTGATCATCCACTGTTCTGATGCGTACGGAATTGTAATTTTACCCGTTTCACATTCCGTACATTTCCTGATCTGCTGACGTATTCTACTTTTACCATTATATCAGTATGTTTATTATTTCAATTAGTCCAAATATTCTGCAGTTCTGTGCGATGGCTATATCACATGTGATGTCTGACTTTCAGAGTCATTGTTAGTAAAATATTAACTTGAGAGGAGATAGGAAGTGACCGGCACATTTTATTTAACAATATTATTATTTCCCTACAGTTTCAGAACTGTGGTTTGAGTGATAGCTGTTTATACACCGGGGAAAGATTCAGGTGTTGATGTTAAAAAACAATAATTTTTGGCTCTGCTGAGTGCTATTGGGCCCGGAAAAGCAATCACAGGAAATAAAAAGATGACTTATGGATTCTGATAGTCTTTAGAGTTCCCTATATACAGGGTGACCAGATCCACCATGTTTACAAGGACACATATAAGTTTCTAATATTTATGAAAATGCACGAAAAGCGTTGCCCTGCAATGTGTATAATGCCTATTCCGCATTATTGCCTACTGTCTAATTGCTTAATTGCAGGATTCTTCATTGCCTAATTGCTTAATCGAAAACACCTTCTTCTGAATATGTCCCCAAACTCCGGCCCTCCAGATGTTGCTGAACTATAACTCCCATGATTCTATGAATGAAATAGATAGGCTGAGAATCATGGGAGTTGTAGTCCAGCAACATCTGGAGGGCCGGAGTTTGGGGAAGCCTGTCCTGGAACTAACAATAGCTGTACTTCCGCCGTAAGAAGAGACACTTACTGGTGGACCATCT